CCCACGTACGTTTAGGAATCAATACACATGTGCTCGTAAAGCGGTTGTCTCAATTTCCAGCCAACTAACGAATATTTCATCACGTTACACATTTTCAAAACGTGAGCCCGATCGAATTGATCATTTGCCGTACGATCTTGGACGGGTGGGCGAAAAATACCATTTCTGGAATTAGGCAGGACAGATTATGTCTGGGTTAACATTTCAGAAAACAGAAGAGCGATCTTAGAATTAGGCAAGTTCTTCACATGGTGATGATAAAGTTGGCAAATGCTGGCACATGTTGCTTTTATCCACATGTTACATGATTTTCTGCACTAACACATGACATTAGCTTTGTTTCAATCAACTTCTTGCCATCTTTTCTAGTTTCTACATCTTGTTTAGCAACGAGTCTTGATTGGATTCAATATATTCAATGGTTGCTAGACAGTTACCGATTAATTAGGTCAAATGAAGGTCGCTACATGGTTATGAAAAATCAGGTTAGTAAAGGTTGGGTGCAAGATCGATGGATATTACATTAGGGGACTTCAATGGCATGCATGCATGATGATAAACTATCAGCAAATGTTTCAGGTTCTGCCAGAAATTTTGTTGAGTCAGCAATCTAACAAGTATTGAAGTTCAAAACTTCAAATTTCAAATATTCACAACCTTCTGGTTTTCTAGCTAGAATCAATATGTTCGAAGTTTTCGTTACAATGCTCTCTGTAAATGTTATATATATATATATATATATATATATATATATATATAGAGAGAGAGAGAGAGAGAGAGGTTGGTTCAAATACTAACCCATTTTTTTGTGTTAACTATGCTAACCAACATCAACTAATCATGTTCCATCTTTTAGTTAGGTTCAAATATAACTCACATATTAAATGTAAGGGTATTTAGGTAATTTGTCATTTTTATGTAACTCCCCAACATTTTAATTGGGAGTTACAAATCTTAAACTACACTAATTGATCTTCATGTAATAATGACATGAAGTTTCACATTTGTTCATCTTACTGATTTTTACATTTCATTCTTCCTACAATGGTTTTAATATTGTAAATTTCAAAAAAGTCCCTTTTGTAAAGATTCCGTTATAGTCCGAGTAATATGGATAATCATAGAGTAAAACAGATCGACGACAATGAGAATGAAAAAGCTAAAAGCGTCTACGAATACATTCGGAATTCGAATTCCGAAAGTGAAGAAAATGATCGAACCGTTCACGCACATGTTCACTCAAACGTCGACATATGTGTTCACTCGTGAACATATGTGTTCAATTGGTTCACACAATATGTCCATTTGGTTCACACACATGTTTCAATTGTTCATTAAGTTCACACATTGTTTTGATAAAGATTACGAACCTAATTTTTCAATTGTTCATTAGGTTCACACATTGTTCATTAGATTCACACACATGTTTCAATCTTTTCTGGATGCCGTCGTCTGGTAATCCTTCCAAATCCTCCATTGTGTTTGATGAAGATTATGAACCTAATTTCTAGCTACTGATTTAAGATATTGATCGATGAAATTGACGGTTTCTTTATTGATTGGAAGTTTCAGAATAGGCTGACAAAATAGGATGCGTTAAGATCATTCACTTTTTATAATTCTACCCTCTGAACCATTGTGAACCTAATTTTTTATTAATATGTTAATTAAATAATTAAATTTTTAGTCTCAATAAATGACAACCGTTGGATGTTCAAATCAACGACCAAGATCGGTTAACAAAGTTAACACGATAATCTTGGTTARTATTTGAACCAGCCCCTATATATATATATATATATATATAGAGAGAGAGAGAGAGAGAGAGAGAGAGAGAGAGAGGGGTGTTTACGGGAAAGCACTTAAAAAACAAAAAAAATTGAGGAATACTTTGATAATAATTTATCGGTACGATATGCACATGTGCATAGATGTAATTGAAGATTTTCTTTTTAGTTTCTATGCATGAATGCATATTAAGCACACCTGCATACCGGACAAACTACTTTTATACACATGTGCATACCATACAAATGAATAGTTATTAGAGTGTTCATTAGTTTTTTTGTAAGTTTTCCGTATACATATATTTCTAGCTATATTTATATTCTTGTGTCGAGTTATTTATATTCATGTATTTCTTTTTAGATGAATGATCGTGTGAGAATAGAAGTTAAGGTGAAAAATGTAAGAAGGAATTTGACTTTTGATCACTTTTAATCTTAAATCAATTAATGAATTGCATTTTAAAAGAAAATTGATCTGGTGTTTTTCATTATTGTTGATCTATTGAATCTCTTCAATTAGAATTGATTCAAGGGTGAAGATTATTTCTTATCATCCTCATCATAATACTTACATTCTCACTGAAACTCAACTGTTTCTTTGTATCTATATTATTTCTTTAACCTTATGGTATCTTATACGTACTCGTAGATTTCCGATGGTTTTATAAAAAAATCTAAAAACTATATCATTTACAAACACATGCATACAAAATTCACACACACATTATAGATGCATGTTATACATACATGTATGCGTATATGTAATTAGAGTCAAGTTCAAACGAAAATTATAACTAAATAAGAAAATAAGAGAATAAGTCTCATCTTTCTACCCCATCCAGTCTTATGGTTGTAATCGACTTGCTAAAATTAGGCTAAAAAGGGCATTAAGGTAAATTTGACGTTAAAAATTATCTAATTAATTATTTAAATCTCTTAAAAATATCATTATATCCTTAATTGGATTTATTTGTTTTTAAATTACAATCATTTCATAATTTTTTTCACGATTTTTCTTGATTTTTTACTTCTTTGCTTCCATACTTCGAATCACATGTGATATGCTAAATATCACATGTGATTTTTCAACATTTCTTCATCGATTGTTTTCATGATTTTTTTTTTGTATCAATGATATTGTTTTCACGCTCTAAATCACATGTAATCTGCAACATATCACATGTGATTTGTTTTACGATTTTTTAAATCTAAATATTGTTTTTGCGCTTTGAATCACATGTGGACTTTTATATATCACATATAATCCATGTAATATAATGCACACAACAGATTAATCACATATGAATAGCAACACAAAAACCAGAATCATATGTATTATGCTATATCGTCAGTTGTGATTAACAAAACAAACAACTATAAATTACATATGATTAACAACATAAAAGACCATATTGTGTACCACATTCTTATTTAAGCATCCAATATCATATGCCAACATATCACTATAGTGGAACAAAAGTTGAAAACTCGAACATGTGGTATTCCCTTGAAAACATCTTGCAGATTTAAAGAAAAAAAAAAGCATAGATAACTAGCAAAACATATGGAATGCCAAATCCCCACTTTAGGTAATGCATGCCTAACCACCGTCTTTATATCCTCTATGACAATCATCAACATCCACACTGAGCTGCATCCAGAACACAATTATCCAAGTTCAATGTTGCAACCACCAACTAAAGCACCGTATTGTGGCTCGTAGTTAGTAAGAAACACATGTTTTAGAAGAGAATGTGGGAAACATGAAAGTAAATGGTTCTAATACGGAATTAGGATGCTAGAAGGATAAAGATAGACTGTGTTCATGAGATTGGTGAAGGTTTTTAATCGTCTTTGGGGAAGGAGACGCCTTAACATGGTGGGTGTTTGTTGCTAACGTTTTTCAACTTAATGATGGTACTGTTCCGATGGATGATTATGAAAATTTCCAATCCTTTGACTTTTTTCTATATTCAAACGTAATTACCAAGTTCTTTTTGTTACAACATTATCTCTAAAGTCCTTATTAGACATCTTTATAAGACATCGATTTGCTCAAAATACACAAAATGTCACCTTCTTTTTTGAGCCATTGATTAGATTATTAGATGGTCATGATTTATTCTTTTATTTTCTTATTTGATCATATTCTTGTTTGAACCTTTCGTTTACCTCTACACAACTATGTACGTGTAGTTAGGTAGTATGTATGTGTATATTTATATGCAGGCCTGGCCCAGGACATCACCCGGCTTTAAGCCCAAGGGCAGTTCTTGGGCTTTTCAAGCCCAACGGTATATATGGTTCTGAATCCACAAACCACAATTGTCCCTCTCTCCGTCTCCATAAATTTTCAAATATATTATTTTCTATAATATAAACTTTATTTTTATAAAATATATATTTACATTTGACCCTCTTTTTTATAATTTCAAATTCCAGCCCCTTTATCAAAATTTTTAAATCCGTTATTATTTGTAGATACTAGAAGAATACTTGTGCAATGCAGCAAAATACATCTTGATTTTAATATTTTATTTTGTTCTTTATCTCAGTCGATGTTATAATATGGTCTTATGTGATTAAAAAAGTGATGATGTTTTTATTTTTGAACAAAATATAAAATTGAAGATATCATAAAAATTTGATAAAAATATATCGATATTACCATCAAATTAACTATTTAAAATTTCTATTTTTGTATAATTTTTTAATTCAATTTTTTTATTGTAATTTAGTTTAGATTCAATAACGAAGTAATTTATATTTTGTTTAATAATATAATTTATTTATAAATATAATATTTAATTATTTTGTTAGAACTCGATAATTATCCTAATTATATTTTAGATTTTTTGATATTTTAAAATGAGATGTTTATCATTTATTTGATTATGTTTATCCGCAATTAGTTACACGAATTCAAATATGGAGCTTTTATAAGTTGTACTTATGCATAATTTACTTGTAATCTTGAATTTTAAGTAATATGTATCAATATACGATTCTTAATGCATAAAAAATAATTTTTAAAAGTTTTTATCAAATATTTTATAATATAGCATACATACACACATGTTACAACTTCATTTCAATCTATATATAGTAATGGTACAGACCTATATATATATATATATATATATATATACATATGTGTATATATACAAAACGTGGAAACCCATTTGGATAAGACAACAATTGTTCATCTTATTCTTATTCAGTAGCCGTGTTCATCTGCTTATGAACAAAGTCTTTGACAACAGAAATAACATGCATGGCTTCATCCACTTCTGTAAACGCATAGAAGCCATGAAACATATATCGATACTCCTCCAAACGTGCTTCTTTTCCTGACTTCTTCAGCCAATCATGGTACTTTCTTTGCCAATCCTGAAGGATATCACGGCCGCCCACCACCACTAATGTCGCCGGAAACTCCAACCCTGAGATGTCCACCGCCCTTGGCCCACTCACATTGATCACCTCATTGTCCCTATCCCATTCTTCATCCACCGGCTTCAACACCCTCCAATAGAAATCTGTTTGGTTCAGTGCTAGCCCTCTTGAATTTTCCGGTGATAACTCCGATGCTGTTCGTTCCTCTCCTCCGAAGAACGGTTGTAGTGCCACCAGTCCAATCACCTTCGATAACAAAGGATTGGCATAAATGATTGGTAAATTTAGAAACTAAAACCATTCAATTCAAACTACCTTAATTTGCTGAAATTTGTTTTGAGAAGCTCTAATACAAACTTGATGAGCAAGGTTACCGCCGGCGCTGTCTCCGGCCACAAAACAACGCTGCAGATCAGCATTCTCCGGCAAGTTTTTCCGGTTTTGGTCGTCGTCAAGAAACTTGAGGACATCAATCCCATCGTCATACTGGGAGGGATACCTGTTTTCTGGAGTCAAGCGATAACTAGCGGAAACAACAACGGCAGGAATCATACGGGCAAATCGGCGGCATAATCCATCGAAAGGACTGCTTTCAGGGCTGTAAAACGCATACCCACCACCATGGTAGTACACGATCAGCGGCAATTTTCCGGTGGTAGTTACCTCGGGGACGAAGACACGGAACCATAGGCTACGACCAGGGTCAATGGAAACATCATAGGATTTGACTCCTTCAACGGGTGTTGAATTGGCGGGGGACTTAAAATCGATAAGGTCCCGAAAGCGGCGGTCGATGGTGTCTCCGGGACCGATTCCCAAGTTGGTGGCGGTGGAAACTAACCAAATCTTGAAACGGGTAGTTAGGGGGAGGGATGGAGTTTCAGGCTTAGGATCCATGGATAAGGTTGGTGGGAGATGACAGATGAGGAAAGACAGTAGGAGTTAGTTATAAAGGTTGTTAATTAGGAAATCATGTGATTAACGAGGATAATTAGGATCAATTAAACAACCATTTTGTTTTATTATAGTATTTTGATAGGAGGAAACAATCATCCGTATATCCCGTTCATATGTTAAACATGTTTAATTGTTTTAAAATAACCTATTTTCTGACAAAAAACTCGGTTTAATAAATAATAATACGAACAAAAACCTAGTCAGATTAGAGCTTTGGACTCGTACCGTTAACCATTGGGTACCCAAAACTGGAACCGACCGTCACCCTCGTTATTTTTATAATAAAAATTATTTTATATGTTTATTATTATTAATAAACTAAATTTGAAATTATTAATTTACTTTTTAATAAATATTGAATCAGCTCTCTCTGTCTCTTACTTTACTTTCCATAATCACTTCCACAATCAACCTACATTTTACCAAATCCTAATCGTTTGTAATTTACTTAGGATGTAATTTTCTCCCGTCAAGAATTTCTATCAAATCGAACCCTCTTTAAATCGCAACCTTCTGCTTCTACTTCTCCGTTGAAATCGTTGCTCCATTATTTCATGCGTCTCAGTGGTTCATTCGTCAATTTGGTAGTAATTGTTCAATCACGGCCGCTTCCAATGTCGATGTGGTTAGTTAGGGTCATCAATTTGGCATGGGGATTTTCCTTAACTGGGACATATCATATGTAGGTTTTTCTTTACAAGTCCATCGCAATAAATTGCAATATTTACGTCACATGTAATATTTTCCCACCTTTCTCAGAGGTCTATTTGCAACGACGTAAACTTCATCGCATACGTCAAAATGTTTTCCCATAAAACAACAATACAGGGCGGATAAGGATAAAATCTCTACCATGATTCATGCTTCAATCATGGATAACAATCCTTGATTTTGATCATTTGTATTATTATTGTAATATCTCATTTGTTTATAATTATTTTTGTGAATATTTTTTCATTAATTACTTTTGATTATATTAATTTATTTCCCTCTAAATGAATTGTAAATGTATGCATAAATAGCCTCCATTGTATTAATAAAATCAATAAGTCTTTGTTCTCTTTTATCGTATCAGAGCCCTCATCAATTTTTTTTCTTTCTTCTCAACCAATTTCTCATCATGGCAAGAAATAGCAACACCATTCCAAATTCCTATGAACCTTCAAAATCTTTTGTTCTAATTAACTTCTCTATGAACCTTCAAAATCTTTTGTTCTAATTAACTTCACCAACGTCATCAAACTTTCACCTACCAACTATATATCTTGGAAATCTCAAATGCAGGCCATTCTCTTTGGCCATGACCTACTCACTTTCGTCGATGGCTCCCACTGTTGCCCACTCGAAACCATCACAAAAGACACTAAAACTGAATCCAACCCGGCCTATCAAACTTGGCAATGCCAAGACAAACTCATCTTCGGGAGCCTTCTTGGTACCCTCTCCCCTACCATCATGCCTCTCGTCGCTCACACCACCACCACTCATGATGTTTGGATCACCCTCGCTACTACCTACGCCAACCCCTCCCGTGGGCACCTTCTCCAAATTAAAGATCGTTTGGACACCCTCTCTAAAACCAACCAAAGCATCACCGAATACATGCAATCTATCAAAGCATGCACCGATGAACTATCTATCATGGGTAAACCCATGGACAATGAAGACATCATAGCCAAAGTCCTCAAAGGCCTTGACTATGATTCTTACAAACCCATCAACGATGTCGTTCGTGCTAGTGACTCTCTTATAACCTTTGAAGCCCTTCATGAGAAGCTTATCAATCATGAAATTACTCTAAAAAAATCAAGCCCAACCACCTTCATTTCCCTCTTCCGTTCATGTTGCTAATCGTCATCATCAAAATCGTTCGTACTCTCGCAACACCACCACCCCCCCCCCCCAAATACCACCACCACCTACAACCGCATCTCAAAACCTTATCTCGGTAAGCGTCAATGGTGCCGTCATGTCACCTTCAAACAACTCTTCCCTCACATAATTTTTCCTACATTTCCCCCTGTCCAAACCCAACCCGAGTCTCTCGTCCCATCACCCCTAGTATAAGGATTGTTATCCTTGATTGAAGCATGAATCAGTTTTCCCACCAAAATATACAATCAATTGTCACAATGGATCGCTACACTAAGTCAGCGACCAACCTATTGTTGTCAAAAATAGAGCCATAGCTAAAAACTATAAGTCTCTTTTCTTCTAGTGTTGTTAAATAAATGTTATGCACATAATACATACAAAGAACAAAAACATCGAGAATAAACCAAATTAACACAAAACAACCATCTTCATAATTGTTGTCGAGTTCACAAAACCAAAAAACAGAACATCAAGTTTAAGCAACTAATATTCATAGAAATGAACTTTAGCATTTGGGGATGCTCGATCAAGCTTCAACAACTCCGAACGAAACCTACTGCTAGTTGTTTTGTGAGCAATAACCATCTTTTTTAGCAAGTAATGAGCTACGTATAAAGCCTACAAAATATGATTGTATTCAAACGCACAACAGATTACGATGAGAAATACGATACGGGTGCATTCTACTTACTGCGATCTTAAGGGTCTGCAATTCGGGGAGCCGTTAAAAAGGTCACAAGCACACGACACCATGTTGTTAAGGTCAAAATCTAGTCCGTCTAATGTGAGACTCTTGAGGCATGGCAAAGTGACATGGACCCTCGTATTAACAAGCTACAAGAAAAGTGGTGCAAAGAAACCCATTTCAATTAGTCATAATCCATAGATTCATGCTGCAATAATCTGTAAAAACAAATTCAAAGACCGCAAACTATGTCTTACCATCGACATTTGATAATCTAAAGCAAGTTCCTCAAGTATGGTTTTCCCTTGGTTCAACTTTCAAGTTGACAAAACAAGTTCTCTGCAAAATGCAAAGGAGCATGCATCTTCAAAGACCAAAAACTACGAGATCATCCCTTTCATTCTGCGGTGACAGAGGGATCAGAACGGATCTTGTTGGATTCCCAAGAAATTCTTTGATCTCTTCGGAAGAAGCAGGTGATTCATTTTTTGAGGTCTCAAAGGGGCTTGGAAACACATAAGAAATCCGGAACTGCTAACCTTTTTCATACAACTCCTAGTATTGATAAACTCGTTTATTTATTCAAACTCGATAATTTTTATAGTTTGATTATATAATTTGTAAGCATATAAAAATGTTTGGGTTGAAAACATGTATATTCGATTGACTCAGCTCAACTCAGCTCGGCTCGATGCGTCAAGTATAATGGAGCTTTCCAACGAGTCAAGTCGGGCGTTGGTGTTCGAAATCGACTCGAGCTCAAGTAACTCGTTAAAAGCTCGAGTCATTTACACCCCTAACTATGGGCATGTGAATTCAAAGAAGAAAATAAAGAAACAAAGTCACCTGACATTCTTTGTTAAATATTTTTTATTTGGACATCCTAAATAGATTCAAATTTATTTTTCTAAGGATCCGCTCAGTAAACAATTACCTAATAAGCGTTTATTGGATTATTTTACGTTACTGGATGAACATGGTAAAAACCACGAATCTTACCTGGTAATAGCCGTATAAACATAGTAAAACCAAGAATCTTATCTGATAATAGCGATGATAAGGGTCAATAGTCTTACCTAGTTAACGCATAAGATAAATTGTTGCATACATTGTAAAAACCAAATTGGTCGTCATGTTGGTTTGGTTTATAACAGAAACAACCCAAAAAAACATCAAAAAGACAAGGTCACTGCAAGTCTAACGAAGATGAACCAGAAAGTTATGGACGCGTAAATACGATTTCTGCTTTGGTTGATGCTCGTTGAAACTGTAGCAAGTCTCTTAGCATCTTAACTTCGCTAGCAACAGCAACCTGGTTGTCGAGCACTATTCCGACTTTCTGTAGCATCGGTGACTTTGCTAAGATAAGCTTCACAAAGTCCAATTCCGGCTTCACGCTGGACATGTTTGTTATCTCCAATTCACGGAGATGATCCAAGTTAACGTTCGAGTAGTCTTGCAGGTCAAGCAGGTTCATGGCAGTTTGTGACACAGCTTCTTTTTGGTTATAGTACATCTATTGAAAAGAAATATACTTGTGGCTGAGTCACAAAATAAATGAGGACCATATAGCTACTCCCTCTGTCCCGAAATAAATGTCCACATTTCTATTAGTTTGTCACAGAATAAGTATCCTTGTTCTAAACAAGCGTCTATTTTCCAATTCTACCTTATTTGGAGCACTTCATTGATCCATCTATTATTAAGGGTAAAACTGTAATTTAGTTGATTAAAAAGTATAATAATTGCAAATTTCTAAATTGTGTGCCTCTTTCATTGTAGACATTTATTTTAGGATGGAGGGACTAGGGAGTATTGCATTGTAAAATTTATTTCATGTTACCTTCATTATAATTTTCTGTATATTTGGGGAGCTCGTAACCAAAAGAAGAGCAGAACGTAACTGAACTTCTCTCGCAAAGCACAGTCTAGATAAATTAAGAACTCTCAAGCGGTCTAGCAAAGTCGGAAGCTTTTGTGGCATATCACCTGTAGCAAAGCACTTTAAACAAAAATACGAAAAAATGGATTAGGAAGCCTAGTTATGTTTAAAGTTCTGAGATATCGAGATACAATCTTGGACCAATATGCATTACCTGAACAGGATAGGAACTCATATACAGATATTCKATCAACGGTAAACACTCAAATAGCTCAACAAAGCCAGAATTCCAACATCCCAGAAGATGTTTTTCATCTCCAATCTGCATCAAATTACATTATAAAATAATTGAATATATGATCTTTTTTTTCTGAAATGATGATTTCTTGTTTGATTTATGTAACGCCACAATCCCTTCTGCAGACTGGCCCTATAATTTCTAATTCAACTTAAAACCATGGTAGAAGTTTTTGATATCCCACAACTTTGAACTTATAAGGAGCATACATATCTACTTTCTTATCAACATTGGGATGGGTTGTTAGAGTTTACCAGAGTGAAGCTCGTAAGTAATGGGCAATTGACGATAAAGCGTAGAAGAACTTTACAAGTTATGCTGACATTGTGAAAGTATAAGCTCGTCAGCCTACTAAATCCGCAAAAGGTTGATGGCGGTTGAAATGCACAATTTTGGAGCTTTAGACACGTTAACTGCTGCAGCATAAAGAACGACGAGGGTAACTTGTGGTTGTCACCAACCCGAAAGCAAAGTGTAAATTGCTTGACTGTAGACTTCTTAGATAGGTAAGATATTATCTGATCAATCTGATAACAACTACTTAATTCGGAGATGCAGAGGGAGAAGTCGAGTATTGGACCGCGGTGTAGTAACAGGATTGGGTAGATAACATGTGTGAGTTTACATGTGACGGATAAGTTATTACAATTCGATCCTTTAAACATTTCATCGTCAAACTGGAGTTTGGGAATGTTTACACAGTGATGCCTCCAGTTCCGAGACAGAATACTTGTCCTGAATGCATCTCGCATTGGCAGAAGAGTCAGCATTGTTTGTATGATATTTGAAGGAAGGATGTTCATCGTATCCGGAAGGTAAACCTTTATGTCTTTAACATCCATCCTAGAACTTTTGGAAAATGCTGCAAAAATTTAATTGATAAACCAAATAACATAGATATTAAATACCAACATCAGACATAAGCTCTAAAATAAAAGATTAATACAATTGGATGATGACAAAATTATCAAAGATTCAGATCCACATGCTAGAAATTGGAGGAACACAAGTACATACTGTTAAATAGCCTAAAAATATATATGGAACCAATAAATGAACTCTTAGGTTTACCAACACTTATTGGGTAAGAGTCATCACCCTCGGGAAAGATTCTTGGTGTGCAAAATGGTACCATATTATTGTTGATAAGCACCATTCTCTAAAAGCGTAAGCGTCTCTTACCCGGTAAGAGGCGATAATGATTTAGTCAAGAGCCCCTTGTCTTCAAAATTATAAGGCAAGAATCCATGTCTATTGACCATTTGGATTCAAGAAATGATTTCTGCAACTAAATTTCAGAAACTACTACAAATTTTGGAATGGACATGGTACTCAACTGAAACTGAAACTCATGGTAGAATCTCACCCCAGACATCTGGAATAATTTCACAATATGATACCACTAAGATTTAACACTAGAATTACAGAAGAACACTCCCTCTGTGAACAATTAGAAAACATTTTGAACTACCAGTTAACCCTACTACTTTTCAGATGCAAGATTAACTTACATTCTTGTTACGAACTTACAACAATACCAATCCAGTGTCGGAACTTTTGTAACGTTAAATGTAGTTGCCAATTACTTCACAGTAAATTAAATTCCACATGCACATTACAGTCGATACAAACTACAAAGTGTTTTGTGAGCACTTTTGATACATCAATAACCCCCGTTAGGGCTCTTGTACTTGGGAGAAAAAGATTGGGCGGTCCAACAATGGAGAATCGACAGGTTTACATCGATAGTGAAGTAAAATTTCATATCCATAAGATATGACAGAAATTTAGTCTAGGATTTACCTGTTGATCTTTGAAGTTTGTGAAGAATTGGAAGATGAAATGCCTGAAGAATAAGGAAAGGGGCGACGATTTGGCACCAGTTATCCGGAGGTTTTCGCAGAAAAAACCATCAAAAAAGCGACGATTGTGGGTGGAGATATTCAGTTGCAAGAATATGAAGCGGTTTTACAATATATAACTGAATAAATAAGACTTCAGTTGGTAAATATTCAACTGATTTTTTAAAATAAAAAAAAACTGAATTTTTATTTTTTAACAGATTTTCTATTTTGTTTTATAAAATAGATAGACAAATAGTAAAAGGGAAGCAAATGAATATATAGAAACTATGCATGGAAACATTCTTCACATCAAGGCGGTGTAGTGGCCGGTCAAAATTTGCTCCAAGAGACAACAACACTCTCGCTTATCAGCAACGAATAGGCCATAAACTAATTATCTCGTAAATCCGTCGTTAATCAACAACGGATTAGTGACGGATTGGTTTTTGGCCTATCCCTCACTGATCAGCGACATATTTTTTCCATTGCTAATAACACTCGTTGATACTCTGTTTTCTAGTAGTTAAGTAAAATAAATAAAGTTCATTACATCACCATAAAGTGATAAGTATAATGGTCTACGTCTTAGGGGCTGTTTGGTAACCTCTTAATGGTGACATTAAGAAGGAACCTCTTAATCGGTAAGAGGTTGGAGTTGTTTGGCATAAAAAATTGAACCTCTTAATGGTGACAATCATCTCTTAACGATTTAGCATGTAAGGGCTTGCCTAATGGTTCAGATCCATTTTCTTCCTTATTTACCCTTCACCTTCCCACAGCGTTTCTTCCTTCACACCTTCTTCCCTTCTTCCCTTCTTCTCTCTTTTTTAATTCCTCCACCTCACCACGTTCATTCATCCTCTTCTGCAACTTATATTATTAAATCCCTTTTGACTTCCCCTTCTCATCATCTCCTAATCTCCACCATTTTCTTCCCCTTTCCATCCACACAAATAGGTCTATGTAGTAGTAAAACCAAATGGGCATCTCCGGAGCCGGCTGTCCAAATTCCGGTCAAAGGTATGCCTGCAAATCGACATTGAAAAAGAAACTGATCACAAACGTAAACTCCATTGTGGTATCGAATAAGCTTCTCCGTGACAAAAATGGGTTTGGAAATCAAGAAAAAATTTCAAGATTTACAGCTGTTGCAATGGTGAACATTCATCATTCTCTTGTTAGATGGGGTTTAGAGAGAAAATTAAAGTTTCTATTTTTATTACCTCAAAATGCTTACATAATTCGTACCTTAAACATGTTTTTGCGTTTTTGGAATAGATGAACTCGACTTGCACCATGAAATTACCTGATTTCTCCGATGAAACTTTCGGAATTTTGAGTTCTCGGTTGACATCCATGGCGGATTTGGGTGTTTTCTGGTCAAAAACATTGAATATTTTGTCTTCTGTGTCGAAACCCACATCGAGAAGATGACATGGATGGAAGGTCTTTTGGTATTCAAAACAGAGAGTTAAAATGATAATTTATTGTCATTCAGAGAACAGTTACCAAACAACATTATTTCATTCAGYACTTAAYCATTCTGRCCCTCTTAACCATTCTGACCACTTAACCATTCTGCACCAAACCATTCAGCAACTGCCAAACAGCCTCTTACCCTTCCCTATGTCAATCACCAATAATAATGCTTTTGAAATACAAGCTAAGAGACTTATAATCACCTAAATAGTTGGTTGAGTTTATTTTATATTAACACCAATTTCATAATTTCAAGTCATTGTACAGACTTGAACATATAAACTCTATTATGTATTGTATCATGTTTCTAACCATTAAATATGTATCAAATTTGCACAAACCATTCTTAACATCATAGCATACATGAATTAGAGTAAGGGTTGTTTAACGAAATACTTACTTGGTAAATACTTATCAGTAAAATTTAGCATCCTTGCTTACCTTACCTTATAAGATTTTAGTCCATTTAAACGATATCATATGCAACAATTTATCCGGTATAACATAACTATAATTTAATCCCTAAACTCCTCACTATCCCTTATGGTGTATGGTATAACATAACTTAATAGGATGATTGTTTCATATAATGTTCCATATTTGGTAGGATTTTTATGTGGAATAGACATAAATATAATGGAATAAAGTGGAACAGACTTGTTTCATCCCCATCCATGGAACAAGGTGAGACAGACTTATATTTTCCCTAATATGACCTTAAAATAAAATTTATTTCTTTTCTAACACATCAAATACGTCTTCCTTTTTATATTTTATTTATTATTTAAATTTTATTCATTGTATCCTATGCTTTTTAAACTTTCACTTTACTCTTCTCAAAATATTATTTTTATATAGTTTCTATATTTGATTAATTTATGTAATTTATTATATGTTAATAATAATAAAATAATATAGAAAATCTATAACATAAATATGAGAAGCTACATGAACTTTTATTTTGGTTTTATTTTAATCGTTTTTGATGAAAAAAATTTAATGATATATTTTATTATAAAAATATTTATTTTATATAATTTAATAAATTACATAAAAAATTAAAATAAATAAACAACTCATCAAGGGTAATTGGTCATTTTATCTGTTTTGTCATGTCTAATTTTATCTTATCTAATGTTCAACAACTATTTTGTCTTATCTTATTATCTTCTATTCAATCATATTTAGACACCAAGCACATTCTTACCACATAATCCACCCTTGTAATAATCAATTTTCAAATTTTTGGCTGTCAAAAAAAATATTTAAATTATTATTTAGTTAACATATTGAATTGAACAATTCAGTTTACCGTTTAAAAAATTATATTATTGTGTTGTTAATTTATTAAAATAATGTTTAGTCAACTTTTTTATTTATTAAAATAGTGTTTATTATATATTGCTTACTGATTTATTATTGTAGTTAAGTAATTTGATATTATTCAATCAATAAAACCATATATTTTTTGGACAGTCCGTAAAAAAAACAACTTATGTTTTATTAGGTTTTTAATTTGGTCAATTTTACATTAAATAACAATTGATTTGTGTTTTAATTAAATAATAATGTTATGTTGAGTTTATATTAGAGCTTTTGTGGTGTCACTTAGACAGCTGATGGAGACTTTCATTTGTTATTTTTTACTAAGTTAGTTGAATAAATTATAACAAAATTGAGTTTATAGGACACCCATAATCTCTAAGTGTCTCAATAGACCGCTTTATATGACTTAATTTATAGGACCAAAACATAAAGCGTCATATCTAAAGATGTTGTAATAAGTGTATACGACGCTTTTGGGCGTCTTAACAAGTTTTTAAGGACATTTTTAATACAAAGTGTCGCATTAACAACTTTATAGGACACTTTTGAGAAATTGTCCTAAGTGTCCTATAAAGTTGATAATAGAACACTTTATATTAAAAGTGTTCTAAAAAACTTATTACGACGTCCAAAAATGTCATATAGACTTAATACAACACCATTAGATAGGACACTTTATTTTTTTTGTCCTATAAACTAAGTCCTATAAAGAGGTCTATTAGGACATTTGCAATTTGGGAGTGTCCTACAAACTCGATTTTGTTGTAGTGATAATTTATTTATTTTGTAGTCAAATTTGATATATCAAAACTATTTGAATACTGACGGTTTTGGTGTAGGTAAGGTGGGAGGGAATAGAGATACACAAAAAGTTTAAGCTTGAAATCTCTCTCAGACCAACCTAAAAAAGTCTGAATAGATCCAATAAAATTAAGTCAAAAAAAAGCTTAAGCCTGCCCAAACTTTAAACGAACTTAGAAGAGACCCATATCCAAAAAAGCGTGTTGAACATAAATTAAGTTGAAACAAAGATGATACTTTAATTATGATTGTTATTAATATAAAAAACATAAAGTTGTCATATTTTTATACTTGTTTTTGAAGTAAATAATTTTAGATTTTTTATATTTAATTTTGATAGATGAGTATAATAAAAGATAGAAAAACTGTAATTAAGAATTATTTTTAAATGCTAATCAATAAATACATTGATCGTATAATATATAATTAATTGCATGTGGGAGCATTTAATTCTTAAAGTAGGTGCAATTGTCAACAACTAAACCAAAGCATGCTCATGAGACAACATTAAAAAAGATAATAAAATATTTAAACACATATATTAACCATGAGATAGTTCATCTCTGTTTTCATCACCGACTCAAGCTAGGGTTTTGATTGGTCTCAACCAATTGTATTTTAATTATAATGGATATTATTGTAAGTTTGAGCTTTAATTTGATAAATGGTGAATTTTACGAAAATGCAACGTTTTTTGGTTAAATTTTTATTTTAAGTAATGTAATTTCAGAATCTTTATTTCGATATCTAGGATGTGATATGTCAAACATTTAAGTATATGGGTTAGTGGGTTACCAGTTAACCATAAAACATGTTTCCATTTTGATGTAGCAAACGATGTGGCATCCATCTCATTGTTTTGATTTGATGGAATGATATTGAGAGATTTGGATTTCATGGAAGAATTTGGAATTAGGGAGATTCGAATAAAGAAGAATTTAGAATCTTTGGTTTGTCTGGTTAAATATGTTTATAAAAAACAAAATTATGGACCTAAATCAAAGTAATGAGCATAAAGTTTACGATTACAAGGGATAAATTTATTTAAAATTTTACATAAAAAAATATTGTTTTTTTCTAAAACTCAGTATAAAAAATGTTGCGAATATGACCTCATGTCTGACTTGACATACTGTTAATGGAAGTCATTTAATTTTTGTAACACAAATAAAGCTACTATTGATGAACTTCCAAAGGACATACATTATAAAAAGAGTGATTCAAAGAACTCAGCATATCAAGACGGGACAAGAAGAGAAACGGGAAGCTTGTGCAGACGCATGAGCAACCTCATTAGCTTGTCGTCTAGTGAAACAGACAGAGTAGGAGTCATGTTGTAGAAGTATCATGCGACACCTTGAGCTAATATCCCCAAAATCTGAATCGTCATCTTCGAGGGAGTTGATAGTTGTAACAACTTGTTTGGCATCCGATTCAAAAAATAGCTCTATGATACCCCATATCGGTTGTCCATGACATAGCTTCCAAAAGAGCAAGGGCCTCACATTCTTTAACAAATGGGATACTGACTAATGTAGAGGTTCGGGCAGCCACCAAGGTTCCATGGCGTCCCGAAGAACTGCAGTTAGTCCATAAGATGCAGTTGCAAGGTATTATAACTCCACGAGATTGCAGGTTCACTCTGGTTGGCAACACATTACGAATCGCTCTCTAAACCAAACTCCTAACTTTGTGAGGGACTTGTGCATTGCAGATCTTCAACCAATTCCCCTAATCACAGTTCTATTTCAAGACCTCTGTAGCCAACTGATACCCACTTTTGACCGTGTAATCTCCATTTGAACTCCCATGCCAAATAATCTTATCATTCACATTTCTCCTTGGTGGTAGTTTATAAATCTCTTTCACGTCCCTTGGTAAGAAAAGTTGTTAGAAAAGTTGTTAGAAAAGTTGTTGAAAAAATGTCGCCGCATTCCACTCAAGGGTATTAGGCTTGAAAAGGTCGCTTACTCACAAATCTTGTAGATCCTCCTTCATTGGAGTTTCTATCCCCATCCTTCGCTCGTCTCGTAGCCATGGGTCCTTCCATACACGGATCGAATTCCCCGCACCAATCTTCCATACGTATCGCTCTTTTAGGACAAGTTGAGAACTCCAAATACCCCTCTCCATATAAAACCACTAATTTTTTCGAGTCAAAAAACAATTTTCTTTTATTATTTTGAATGATTAAGTTTCTGAACAATTTTTTAATTAATACATCATCGCATTTTAGAAATTGGTTGCTTACGTTATTTCAACCCAAAAGAAGTTACAGGTAACCAACTAGTAAAAGTTCGATAGCTTATTTATTAAAAAAAAAATTATGGTCTCAATCATTTAAAATAAGCATATTTAATGATTTTTTATTAAAAAAATAGTTTATTAATCATTTAAAATAATAAATTTTAATGGTTTTACACCATAAATTGTTTGACCTTTTTCTTTTAATTCTTCCATTATGTGGTGAAGGAAAATGTATCTTGTTTTTATTTTGGATGCCGACCAAACATTGTAAAATCAACTCTTCATTGGTTTGGTGGGGATTCAACCATACCAAAACCCTAAAACTCTACTGATCTCAATTATCAAACAGTATTAATAACTGCTATTAATAATATGTGTTTTATACCGAGAGAATATCTATCATTCGAGTGATATAAATACCTATATATGTGGATCATCATTCAAATTAATTTGATATCAGGTATTTTGTTTAGATGTGTATGTTTAGTAATTTAAACATTTTTTAGATAATTTAAAGACGTTAAGAACATCTCCAACATGTACGTTATATTCTTTTAAATTTAAAGATTTTTCAATTCTCTTTCTTTTTTTTTTTTAAAAGAGTTTAACATAGCTATTAAAACAGTTTTTTTAAATTTTAAATTTTCTAAAATAACGTAATTTTTTTTATTAACCTGGATATTCAATCCGTTATACGAGTCGACTAATCTCAGGGCGACCACCTGCTTTGCAGATAGCCCGGAGTCATCGCATTTAAACCTTCGTGGCCACAAAAAAAAAATTATTCCTTATCGGATTTAAACCTGTGACCTTCTGGTATATTTGATCTTTGGAGCCGAGCTCAAACCAATCAGATATCAATCTTCTAGTTAAATAAAAAGATGCTCTTGAGATCACTTATTAAACTATTGAAATTGCTTCCAATTAAAAATCTCAGAAGAGAAAAAGATGGTTATGGAATTGGTCAAGAATAAGGTCTACTTCAACAAGCTTTTGACTTTTGACCAAAACCCAAAGTTGGTTTGTGTCCAACTTGAGAAGACTTGGTCAGACTATGAGCAAAGTCAACAACAACATCAATAAAAAAAGGATTGACTCAACCCACCACCATTTACATTTAAAAAAGATAAAATTTTATTTTAAATTATTTTTCATGTTAAAATTACCTATTTGTTTGTTTATTTTTAAAACACAAAATACATTAAAAGGCAGAATTAATACAATTGGTTAATTGAATCTTTTACTTAGAGGTTGTTTGACAGTTGCTGAATGGTTTTGTATAAAATGATTAAGAGACTTTCATGATACAGTACAAAATAAAATATAATTGTTTAGTAATTGTTTACAATAAAATTAAAGAATAAAAATCTTTATATTAAATCAAAATATACTCTTTAGAATATAAATTTATTAATAACTTCAATAATTTATGTCATTAATGATGCAACCATTTTTGTGAAGGGTGTATTTTTTGTAAAATATATTTCATATATATCTAAACACATTTAATAATCCTACTGCTAAAAGTTCAACATCTTCTCCCCTCTACTTTCTAAGAAAATTAAATGCATGTAATCCACCAACTCTCTATTTATACACCAAAGCAACAAGATTTGCCATCCATATATTTCTTTCTTCTACCCTATCATCATTCTCATATCAACCAAAATGGTACGTTCAAGTCTCCTAAATGTCTCAGACCACCATACCGACTCTATTCCGCTAGGAATTGGCTTATTTTTCATCGCGTCTGCTGTGGTCGCACTATGCGCCAACCATACGAGGCGGGTTTCAAGAAAAGAAGCAAATAAAGATGGCTCCTTTGGTCGTACTGATAAGAGGTTTGATTCAAGTGAGGAGGATCATTATCAAGAAAAGTTTCCACCAAGATCGCCGTTGAGGTCTCCAAAGCAATTGATCACCACCATAAGTGGTCATACTGATAAGAGGTTTGATTCAAGTGAGGAGGATCATTATCAAGAAAAGTTTGCACCAAGATCGCCGTTGAGGTCTCCAAAGCAATTGATCACCACCATAAGCAATAAGGCGATGAATTCGTTAGTTGTCAACCATAAAAAAGGCGGTGGCGGCCATGGCGGTGGTGGTGGTAAGGCGGTGGAGGAAGGGTTTGGAGAAGGTGGTTTATGGCAGAAAGAGATATTGATGGGAGAGAAGTGTCAACCACCGGAGTTTTCTGGGGTTATATTTTATGATTACGATGGGCATCAAGTTTCGGAGTTCCCTCCAAGATCTCCGAGGTCACCACGGGTTTCCCCTTTGCCGGATTTTACTTTTCCGGCTATCAAAGAATCAAGTTAGCTTATCTTTAATTTTGGTTGATCAAAACTCTTTATCTGTTTCTTTTCTATATGCAATTTGATTATGTTAATCAGTAGATTTTCTCCTATATTCATCAGTTGTCTTATTAGATAATTTATTTGTAATTTTTCAAACTGGTAAATCATTTTAAATTATGAGAAAAAGTCGACGTGAATAAAGAATTAGTGTTAAATATGCAAAGGAAGAAATAATCAGTATATTGTTGTTTAACACATAATCGACGTCAAAATACAAATAAAGACCATGTGAATAGAAAACACGTTAATTGGTATGTTAGGACGTCCATATTCGTTCCAATTAAATATTTAATAGGACTTTTAAGTTATAAGACCAACAATTATGTGTTTTATATAAAGCTAAATGTCTCAAATAGACAAAGTTATGTTATATATTTATTAAACAAATTCCTAAATGATATACTAATATTATACCATAAATGACTTAATAAAATATATTGTTATACTAGCTTTTTTATAGCACACTCTTAAATAATTAACGTACAACGTTTCAAGCTTGGTACTAATAGGGTCTAGAATGTAGAGAGGCTATGGGAAAGCATACAACTGTGCTCGTTGTTGTATGTATAGCTTTTAGAATTGAGATCTAGTGACACATTCCAAGCATGGGTCATTGATATCGGATGTATTTGTAAGTTAGTACAATCGAGACAATGATGGGTTCTTTGTTGATATGAGGATATTTTTGTATATTTTGCCTTTCAATGTATCCCACCAGGGGCGGATCTAGTGCATGGTGGTAGGGGTCCTAGGCCCCCAACAAACCCACCAATTCTTTTAAAAAAAAAGCCTATACAGAGATTTGTTTAGTGAATTTTCCTATTGAGCGTCCAACAAGAACAAGACAAGGGCCCTCAACTTGATATCCTGATTGGTAATTGGTCAATTTGCAGCACACACTGATATTTTCGTTCTAAATATAGAATATAAAAATTATACACCTCGATGAATTGGTAAAAAGTCAACCACAAGGATGGTGCCTGATTGGTTTGAGCTTGACTCCAAAGGTCAAAAGTACCAGGAGATCTCAGGTTCAAATCCAATGAGAAACAAAAATCCTCTTGTGGCCACGGAGGTTCAAATGCGGTGATTTCATGCTATCTGCAAAACAAGTGGTCATCCTGAGATTAGTCGGCTCGCATAGCGGGTTGTATATCCAAGTTAATAAAAAAAGTTAATTGAAAATCGACGTGAATAAGTTATCTTTATTCAGTTAATCCAACTGTTTAAGCTGAAAAGGAAAACCCAAAACCGTTTTCATCCGGATGAATTATTTGGTTTTGAATTTTTTTTTCTACACCCTTAAGTGTGCCCCCAATTATAAAAGTTTCTGGATCTACCACTATATCCCACCCACAATTGGTTCTTTTCTATCAGGTGTGGCATTCACTCCCTTGTAGACATTCAGAACAAGGATGAAAGTAGAAATTGTTAAAACAAAATATCATATAAATAAAAACAAACCAATTACAGACTTTTGATGGTAAACTGTAGTTTAGCTTCATTAAGATTTCTCATTGGTCGACTTGTTTCATTTCAATGTTTTACGTAATCCAAATGTATCAAACAAATTGTTTGTTACGTGTTAAAGTCATTAGTTATTGATAAAAACCAAATTTTCTTATATTTAATACACTAATTTAATTTACAATATATAAAATCCACCCATGAATTTGATTTTTCCTAATTGTGGTGTCTGTGTCCCAGGCTTCCAGTTTATACGCATATTGACTAATCTCAAAGACCCTAGAGAACAGCCAAGAACCATTGACCTATGAGAAAAATACCCAAAGGCCCATGAATTTGTTCTCTTAACTATTTTAATGGGTTTAGGTTTCAGCTCGTTAGTAGTATAATCCTATTTACTTCACTATTCATTTATTGTTATATACATATCGAGAGAGAGAGAGAGAGTTGGACTCAAATAAGAACAATAACCAAATAAGAAAACACAAGAATGAACAAATCCTTTGTGATTTTACACTAAAATCATGTGTAAAATCACATGTGATTCACGTAACTTCGTCCGCGACCTGAGGTCACGGGCCAAGTCGTCTGCGACCTGAGGTCATAGGCTAAGTCGTCCGCTCACCCTTGTGTTGACTGTATTCTGTAATCACATGTGATTTGACCGTTTTCATGTTTTCTTATTCTGACTTTGTTCTCGTTTGATCTCCCATATATATATATATATATATATATATATATATATATAT